GTGTGTGTGCGCGCGCGCGCGCGTGCCTGCGCGTGCACACACACACACACACACACACACACACACACACATACACACACACACAGGTTTTCAAAAAGTCTGGAAACACTAAAATATCTCGAAAACGACTTTAGTGAAAAATATATACAAGCAAAGTTGTAGAACTTCAAAAAATCTACCTACCTGATGATAAAAGGTTGACTTTGGATGGAGTCTATAAAGTTATATAAAAGTTGAATTTTTTCAGGATCCCTCTCTTTTTATTACATAATCTTATAGCTTATTTCAACAGCTTTCCAAACCAATAAAATATTTTTTCATTAAGTATTTTTCGAGTTATAATTGAAAGTTACAGTATCGCCGATATTAGCATTACGCAAGGTGTCCGACCGACGGCTTTTGAATATTATTCAGAATCATGTCCTGAATGACATTTGTTAAGATTAAGGCCATTGGAGATTATTCCTCTTATTTTCATTTTTGCATTAAAAGTTGATTTTTATGTAAAAATGAAAATAAGAGATATAACTTCATTGACCTTGATTTTGACAAATGTTATCCAGAATATGATCCTGTATGACATTCAAAAAGTTTTAGTCGTCGGTCGAACACCTTACGTAATGCTAATGCCGACGTTACTGTAACTTTCAAGACTTATAATTCGAAGAGTACTTTATAAAATTTATAAAATTTATAAAATTATTTTATAAATTTTAAAATAAATTTATAAAATTATTTTATTATAGTGTTTTGAAAAGCACTCGAGGTGTGCTACAAGAATATGCAATGAAAAATAGAGGGTTCCATTTAAAAAATTCAACTTGACCTTCATATGACCTTGCAAACTCCATTCAAGGTCAGGTTTTATCATCATTTATATAAATTTTTTTAAGTCCTACAACTTTGCTCTTATATATTTTTCGCTAAAGTTGATCGTTTTCAAAATATTTTAGCGTTTCCAGACTTTTTGAAGACCCTGTATATATGTGTATTCATATATACATATACATATATATATGTAATACACACACACACACACACACACACACACACACACACACATATATATATATAATAAGGTTTGAGAATAAGATAGTCATTCTCTTTTTCCGTAAAAGATATGGCGAAAAAGATATACCAATATAACACTATTAAAGATAACAAAGATTAAAGTGTGCTTTTTTTGCATTTTAAAGATGGCCATCTTACTCAAATTTACCTTATACATATATCTATACACATACATATACATATTAGGGTGATCTATCTTTACTCTTGAAGAAAAAATTTTTTTTTTAATTCTTTCCGTGGCACCCGTCATAATGGTTCCAATTCACAAAAAAATAATTCCTGTCAAATTTCGGTTTGATCGAACAACGGGAATCCGTATCGACAACTCGTTGAACATTTGAGAGAGAGTTCCCTCATATTACACTCTCAACATTGGGTTTCAAGCGTATTTTCCACAAAAATTAGCCTAAAGGACTTTCCTTTTTTTTTTTTAATATATAAGTGTTTTGCTTTTCTACATCGTTTGAGATTATATGTCTCATTTAAACAATTACGTGTATTGTTAATTATTAAAAAATAAAAATAAATAATTAGTATAACTCCGATATATACGCCAATGGGTCTTTCTTTTTTGATATTTGATTATTTTTCTTAGGGCATCACCTAAAATTGTGTTCCAATGTACATATATAAATAAATAATAAAATAATATAAAGAAGAGGCTCAATAAATGTGAATAAACGAATTATAAATGAAGGGGTTACGAGCCAAATATACGAAATAAATAATACATGTAAAATTTTAGATTTCAAGAATAGAAATTGTGCTGATTAACAAATGAAAGTCTGTCTGAAAAATGTACTTTTTTAAAATTCCTTTATTGATTTTTTATAATTTATAAAATACAACGATAATATAAAAAATTACGTTAATTTAGCTGTAAAATTAATTTTCTAACAACTGCAATAGTTTCAAAAGAGTTTCTTTCTTAGCTTCTGGAAACTGTTTGCGATAGTTGCAACAACTTTTAATAAAAATTGTATTTGTTCCTCATTCTTTGTTATAATATTGTTATAATCGGTAATTAGCTTTATTCCCCATTTTCCTGTGTCATTAATAATTTTTAAATTCTTAACAATATAAGACTAGAATGATTTTTGTAGAAAATACTTAAAAACGAATGTTGAGAATGTAATATAAAGGAACTCAAATGTTCAATGTTTAATGAACTGTCGACAAGGGTTTCTGTTATCCGATCGAACTGAAATTTTACAGGAATTATTTTTTTGTGAATTGTGTGGAACCATTTTGAGGGGTGCCATTGAAAAAATTCGAATGTCGAAAAAATGACCACCCTAATGTACATATATACATATATACTAATATATATATATATATATATATACATTAATATATATACACTCACATACATATATTATATATACCTATTTTAACAAGAAGAACGTTTCTCTGAAAATAAACAAAAATTGTTTTTTTTTACTCAAATTATGTGACGCGTTATGATTTCTGTCCGTCTTAATGATACCTTCTATTCATTTCTCATCACTTTTTGGGGAATCGCGGGAAGTGGATTCAAGTGTCTCAGGATAAACTTTATCTGAGTTTCTCACTTGAATCGCAAACATAATGTTACGAATGTTGATTCAAGATACATCTATCGAATTATTTCGAGATCAGTTTCAAAGGAATCTCTTAGCAGAAACGAAATTATAATATAAACATGGGTGTTATTCTCTTTCGTTTTGAAGATGATTTGCCTCACCGTTCAAAATGTGATGATACTTAGCGCGCAGGACATGTCACGATCTGTACCTCCTAGCGGAGAAAATGCAAGAAGGCACGTCCAAACGAATGCGTTTTTTGTATCGACGAAAGTTATTATGTTTTATGTCAATTTCCAGAATGATTTAGCGATTTATGCCGATGATTGGCGGCGCACTGAAAAAAAAACTAACTTGACTAAATGCCTTTAGTTCGTAGTGATTTTTTGATTTAAGTATTTATGTATTTAAAAATTAAATTTAAAGGTTAAATTTTAAGATTAAATATACGTAAGTCAAGTAATATAAAAAAATCTTGTAATTATTATATTTAAAACACATTATTTGTTTGAATTAATAAATATTTTCTTCACAGTCTCTGACCGCCGCATTTATAGTTGAATCAATTAATGCTTTTTAAAATCAACAACTTTTTCTCAGTATGTCTTTCCCAACAGCACAGAATTTTTTTATGATAAATATTTATTATTATTCATTTTTTAAAAATATTTTATACATATTTTATATAAAGCTTTATTTGAAATGTTATTAAAAGATAGATTAAATATTGTATTTAATATAATATTGTATTTATGGTAATAAATAAATATTTCTGTTAAGTATTTCTTATTTGAATTATAATTATCTTATTAAGTATTTCCTACATATAATAACATTTACTACAAGATTTACAATAAATATTTCATAATATTTATAATAAATATTTATGATCTATCTATCTAAGACCACAAAAAATATTTAAAATAAGTCTTATTAATATTTATAAATATTTTCTAAATATTTTGTAAATATTGTGTGCTGTCTGGATTTTGTGTTGCAAGATTAAAATAAAAAGAGAAAACGTTGTAAGCAGAACAACAGGTTATGCTAACGTCAAAAATGACATTAAAATGAATAATGACTAATCGCGCGAAAAGTAACTTTTAATACTCATTTTGGAGCTTATATTTTATTATTTTTGGAGCTATTTTGATGACAATCAACCGACGGATGGAGCTGCTCGCGGAACTAAAGCTCGGTATACACTTGGCAAACGAACACTGAACGAACAACAAACGCGAATATTCGAATTCATATTTGTATTTATAAACAGTTTATTCCTTTTCTTAATTGCATCGAATATTAGCATTCGATCAGTTTCGGTGTTGTTACGTCTTACGTATAGCAATGAAACTTGTGCGATATTTATACAACAAATAACAACAAATTTTCGGTCTTCATTCAACGTTCATTCGTTGGTGTGTATACCCGACTTAATACAATCTCATTGTCCCTGATTAAATCTCTCCGTTTCCCGTCGAACAACGAACGATTCTGTCCGTGTTAACGCACATTGATTAAAGTAATCAGAGTCCGATCGAGGCTCGGATGATTTAATTCCTTCTGCGATTCAAGTTCATTTTTACAAATATTAACTTTAATTTCGTTTTATTTTTTTATCTTTTTCTAATTTCTTTAGAATTAGAAGAAGATAAGAAGAACTCTTTAAATTTCTCTAAATTTGAAGTGAAATCTCACTCTAAAAGAATTAAACTGCTGTCATTATTGAAAAAGAGTGAAAACATTTTCTCTCTTGAATTTTCACTCTTTTGGAGTAACATTTCTTTCTAAAAGAAGAGTGAGATTTCTTTCCTTTGCGCTTTGGAGTAAATCGCATATCAAAAGAGTAAAAATCCCACTCCAGAAAAAAAGAGTGAAAATTTACCATTCTTATTCAAGCAAATATTTTCACTTTTTTCAATAATGGCAGCACTTCCATTCTTTTGGAGTGAGATTTCACTCCAAGAAATTTAGAGAAAAAAGTTACTGAGATTAAAGCTAATAAACATATTGATAGAACTGAAACAACAATATAAATTAATTATAGTGTTCATAATTTAAACTGAATTAACTTTATAATTTCAATTTAATTTACTCTTTATCTTTTTCTCTAATTCTTAGAGCTGGAAGAAGGTAAAGAAATAAGTTAAATCGAGAATAAAGTTAATCTACATCAGTAGAAACGGACATTAGCCTGATGATTCTCAGCCGACGATAATTCCAGGGATGTGAATCTCGAGCCCAGAATCAACTCGTCCGTGGCGAACCACTTCCGCCTCGAACGCGATCTCTCTCTCTCTCTCTCTCTCTCTCTCTCCCCCCTCTCTCCTCTTTTTCACCGTCTATCTTTCTTCGCCATTACCTTACCTTATTCTGCAGTTCATCGATGAGCACGTAAACGAGCAACGTGATCTCCTCTTCGTCGGAGCCGAGCGCGTTTCCTTGGAGGCCGGCGGTCGCCACGTACAGGGTGACCAGGATATTTTGCGAATTATTTCCTCCTCCTCCCCCAGTTCCTCCCATCCTCGTTCCCGTCATCATTCCCGTAGGAGCGCACCTGGCGGCTCCAAAATGGATTCCTATTCCAAGTCTGATTTCTCTCTCTTCCTCCCTCTTCCGTTGTCGCTGCTCTTTGACGCACTCGCGCGACGTCCCGACGCCGGAGCGTCCCTATCACTGATCGCTCACTGATTATTCGCCACGCACGACATACTCTCCCTCTTTCTTTCTCTCTCTCTCTCTCTTTCTCTCTCTCTCTCTCTTTCTCTCTCTCTCTCTCTTTCTCTCTCTCTTTCTCGCGACGATTTGAGGTTATGGATCTGACGGCGGCACACCTGGAGTAACCAAAAAGAATAAAAAAAAAAAAAAGAAGCAAACCGGAGCTCACGGAGCGCGCGGAGCAGAATCGATCTCGACGGCGGCAGCGGACGCTACTTCGATGCTCCCCGTCTCTCTTTTTCTCGTTCTTTCCCCTCGGTCGCTCGCGGACGGAGCGCCGTCGAAAGTCGCAAGGTTCTGTGCAGCACTGACCGTGCGTTCCCCGACCGAGCGTAACGAGGCGAACACGTCGTCGTAGTTGCCTCACCTGGCGACTGCGCGTCGACGCGGCCCCTCTCTCTCGTTGGCTGGAGCGCCTGGCTCGCTCAGGTGTCTTACAGTTTACAGTGAAAGAAGAGGGGAAAGAGAGAGAGAGAGAGAGAGAGAGAGAGAGAGAGAGAGAAAGAGAAGGAAATGTTTAGATATTGCACGCCGTACGGAAGGCGTTCTTGTCGAGCAAACAGCAAAAACGAATTAATATCACGCGGAATTTCAACCGACGTTAATGACGAGTTACGTCGGTGTGCGAGAAGATATCGAGTATTCAGACATTAAGAGAAAAAAAGAAAGAGAGAGAGAGAGAGAGAGAGAGAGAGAAGGGAGAAGGAAAAGAGACAAACACTTGTATGCCCTGAAACAATTTCTCTTTTCCTCTCGCTCCTTCGTAAAGCAAATAATGAAACAAATATCTAGCAGAATTTCGAGATCTGTGTGGGTTAATAACAAGTTGAACAGGTGTACGGGTACGCTGATGTCGAGTCGTGTACGGGAATCAAACGAGAACAGCAGGGAAAACGGAGAAAGAGAGGAACCTGTTGCGCACCGCGAAAGAATATTCACTGACAAGAACAGTGAAAATTAACACATCAACGTTCAGCAGAATTTTTTTGCGCTAAGTAATACGCCGAATTAGAACGGATGCACAAGTGAAAATAATGAGTATTCGAAAATCGGATTTACCGCGAATAAGGAAGAGAGAGAGAGAGAGAGAGAGAGAGAGAGAGAGAGAGAGGTACCCGTATCACTACGTACCGTATAACCTGAGCATCGTTTGTTGCTAGTAGATTATTTATTCTTTCCAGCTAGCATGAACTTCCGAAATACTACGCTATAGATATCGCTCGAAAAAATATTGCTGCATTTGAAACTGAGCCACCTGAAGAAAGCGGCAATAAGGGGAAAAAAGAGGCAATGTCGAGTATCTGCTTGTTATGGAAGATATAGAAAAAGAAGGGGAGAGGGAGAGAGAGAGAGAAAGAGAGAGAGAGAGAGAGAGATAAGGAAATTAAGCGCAAAAAAGAGAGATGGCGAAAGGGAGAAATGGAAAATATCTAATGAAAATCTGTCTCTTTTTTAGCTGCACTTCTGGCATACGTACAATTCATCTTTTCTCTTTTTCTCTCCAATATGAAAGGAGAAAAGATGCAAAAAGTTCAACTAAAGAACAAGTCTACGTTCGGGAACGAGAAGAAAAACATGGAAGTTGAAAGTTACTTAAGGATGGGAAAGCGCGGCAAAGTGAGAGAGATTTTTAGCACGCGAATTTTCATCGATTGCCGCTTCGCTCTCCCATCGACGACAAAACGTAGCCGCCGCGCCGAGGAAAATCGACGACGCGCGGCGAAGGAAAGGAAAGGCACAAAATCTCGAAGCGGCCGCGCCAGGGCCACCAGGTGCGCAGACGCTCCACTCGCCGAGTGTCACCTCGTTCTCTTCGGCCACATCCATCCGAAACGTTTCACCTCGCCTTCCCTCGCTGTGCTACCTCGCAGTTACCACTCATGGCGGATCCATGTGGCGCGCACGTGGAACGAGACGGGCTGTGTTTTCTTTTTCACTCGCGCGACGTTCTCTCGCGCTGTTGTCCGCGTTATCCACCAATACTCATTAAGTACTCCGATATTCCGCAATTCCATTTTACGTGACGTTAAATGTGACCAGTGTACTGGTCAAAAGAGCACGCGTGAGTTATCAAAGGAAAATGGCGCGAGTGCGTACGCGCGCGATTATTCTAATTAGTGATCGCAGGAACGTATAGCGATATATCGGCGTCTTATAACTTATAACAGCAAATAGAAAATTCATATATTTTTCTGTGTCCATTGATCTTACATTCAAAGTTACATTTGTGTCACTCTATCCTTGTTGCTCTATCCTAATAAACAACGAAGATAGAATGACAGAAGTAGCGTTAATAGCGTCTTCCTGAACGCATCTTTACATGGATAGACTGAGCATTAGTGTGCATTAGGTGATGACATACAACGTAGTGACACCCTTTTCGTCATTCGAGTAAAGATGTAGCGCTAAAAGAAATATAAGAATAAAAGTAAGAGAGAGAGAGAGAGAGAGAGAGAGAATATTAGATAATATTATTAAAACATTTATAAAATATTACATTAAAATATTGATAAAATTCATATAAAATAAACACTTCGAAATGTTGATAATGTTTCTTATTTACTGCTTAAGTATAGTCAACACAGCTATTTCATATTCCTTCGACACTCGACAGAACTTGATACCATTTCGTAATAAGCTGCGATTATGCAGCTACGATGATATATTTATTTATGCGGCTTCCTGCTGCGTAATACAGAGTGTCCCGGAGAGAGAGACCCCCGACCTTAATTTCAATGATGAATATCACCATTAACGTTGCAATCACGTTGCAAAATATGGTAGAATCGTTGTCGGAAATCCGAAGTTTCCGATCGTGCGCCCGCTTTCCTTCGCGGTCGAATCATAGCCACACACTCGGAAGAAAACATGAGGAAGCTAATTTGTTATTAAGCATCGCTGCAATTATGAGTGAAAGTACGGAAAATAGTCAAGGAAAGCGACACAGGATCGGTCAACGCTATATAGATTAATAGTGAGTATCGCGTTAACATTATATAGATTAATAGTGAGTTGGTACACTCGTACTACACTAGATTAGTATACAGAAAACAAAAATTCTTATTTTGAGATTATCTTTTTTTTTTTTTTCAAAATATAAATCTTGAAATAATATTATATATAGTGTTACATCAACATAACTTGCACATAAAAAAATTTTATACATAGTTAAATAATAAAAAATTGTATTTTCATTATTCAATAATAATTTTCATGTACCATTTTGTAATTTTCGCAATAGTTAACGAGAAATTAATTACTAAAAATTGCTAAATAAGTCCGGCCTACTGCCAAATCTAAGCGCATGGCGAGAAATGGCCACCCAGCTATCCAATCATGGTTGCTAAGCGCGAGTTGTTTACTACAAGCAGCAATGGCTACGCACCAACGCGAGCGGCGCGTGATGCTGAATTGCCGTTCTGAACTATACATGATTGTCCTTCGTCTTTCTTAACTAAACAAAATCTTCTAATAGCACAGGAAAAATGTATTTAAAATTAAAGTTACAGTACAAGGTTTAATAATTAAAATAACAATTACAAATTATTAAAATAAGGAGTTATGAGTCAGAACTTAGATGTTTTGTAGTATTAAATTATTAAACTGATAAAACTTGTCTAAATATAATAATAAACGTTTTCCCTTTATTAGGTTATACATTTTCAATGTTTAGCAAATTTAAGTATTCATAATTATTAAGGACTTTTCGATTTAGTTTAGGCCGCTCTACCTGTACACAAGAACTGCGTGATATCTGTGTGAAGTTGGTCTCTCAACTTTTGAGAAAATTAATTTTATATAACTCATTCGATTTTCATTGTTCATTTGCACATTTATATATTTTGAATTTTCATTTCTAGGAAGAAAGTTATAATATTAAAAAAATCTATTTTGGAGGCTTCACACTAGCCCTCCAACTTCGAAAAAATTGAATCAAAAGGTCTTAATCGATAGGTTTTCATTTTTGTACATTTCGAAGCAATTCGATTTTTTGTTTGCACACTTTTAATTAAAAAGTCATTAACAATTAAAGTTTTCGAAACAAGCGACGTAATGTTTTTAAGCTCAAACATTATGTTAAAAAACTGTCTGTGCGCAGACATTATGTATATTAAAAAAATAGAGTTAATTAATTGAAGAGATATTGCATTTTTTCTATATATCAAAACTGTTTATATTTTAAACAATCTAGGAAGTATCGATTGGTACTATTAGGTGCGCAACTAAGTTCTCGCTGTTATTTTGATAAAAATGCAACTTCCTCATCGAGCAATGCCTCCAATTCAGCGTCTTCGAAGGTTTTTGGCCTTCCTTCACGCGGACGGTCGTCAACATCGAAATCACCGTTTGAAGCGACGGAACCAATCTCGGCAGATTGTTTCACTTAGAGCATCTCCGTAAACTTTTTGGAGCTCTCTATGCGCTTCAGCCGCCGTTTTCTTCGAAGGAAAAGAAGAAAATCAATACTTCCCGCATATGACGATTATTTGACACAAAATCAGACATTTTCACACAACCAAAAGAATATGACGTAAAAACAAAATCACTAATGTTTCAAAGCGGTTTGTTTACCATATGTCTAAGCCATCTGTTGACAAACAGCGGGAACTTAGTTGCGCATCTAATATTTCAAACCCGTTTCTGTTGAATTTGAGCTGAAAACGTAATTTATGTTGGGGGGGGAATTACCCCCCCCCCCCCCCCCCCCCCAACACTCATTTGTTAATAACTTTTTAACTAAAGGTGTGAAAATAAAAAATCGAATCGTCTTTCGAAATGTCTATTTCAACCAAAATACTCAGTGCGCACTGGTAAACGTAAAAAGTATAAGGTATATGTAAAAAGTTACATTTTTTTCTTTTTTATTTCATCATTTATTATAACCTACCGCAGAATTTTGCACACGTCAATTTCGGTACTTCAACTTCATTATATAAAAAAATTAGATATTTCTATGGTAACTCGATTTGCTAAAGAATCAACTTAAATAATTTCTATGTGACTTTATATACTATGTAATCATTTGAACTGCGCGCCGAATTAATCTTTCGGATTTATAAACGCAATTAAGGAGGTTCTCGCGCTACTTTCTAGTCAATAGACACTTTATTCATAATAATACGTAAAACAATTAAAATAATGGAATAAAAAGATTATTAACAATATCTTATGCCATTATACATAATTATTGTTAATTTTATATGTTACTAAATATTTTCAAAATGACAAAATAAAAGTTGTAAGAAGATCCTCATTTGATGTATTGTCCATTTTACATTTGACATATACAATATTTTAGCTTTTTTCATTAAAGAATATAAATTTTTTGTAAATTGTAGTTTTGTAAACTATCAATTTTAATGAAACTTTACGAGAACAAACTTCAGTGTATACTTTATTATTTAATTTAACAATTTTTCAATTGCTGTC